ACTTCAGCATTTTATAGATTTATAATCTATCAAATTATTTTGAGTATATACAAATAGTTTAACAGCTTGATATTTACAAAGTGAACACACCCATACAACTACCACTCAAATCAAGATATAAAACATTACACCCAGTCATTAATCATCTTGCTAGCCCCTATAAAGGTTATCATTCTTCTGACTTCTATTAGCATAGATTAAATTTGGAATCATACAAGATGTTCTTACTTTTCTGGTATGTGTTAATGTCAAGCTACTTTGACTAAACACTGTGAGATTCATCATGATTTTACTTGTAGTAGGAGTTTGCTTTTTCACTACTGCTGAATATTCCATATATGAATATATATACCACCACCTTCTTTATCCATTCCACTCTTGGACATTTCCATTGTTTCCAGATGGGGACTATTACAAATAATGCTATAAATATTCTTGTACCTGTCTTCCAGTAAACATATGTATGCATTCCTAGAGAGTACATACCCAGGAGTTGGACGGAAGGTCACAGGTATACATATATCTAGGTACAGTTCTTCTAAGTACTTTACGTATATTAATGCATTTACTTCCTACCACAACTCTAAGATGTAGGTGCTATCATTATACACAATTTATAGAGAAGGAAATAGAGGCATAGAAAAGTCTGTGCTCTTGAACTATCTGGCTAACATTCCCTCTCTGTGAGGTCCAGGGACCACATTGGCCCTGTGAAGTACAGTATTCCTAGCACTGACCACAGGGCCTTATATATACACAACAGAAGCTTAAGTATTTTTCGAATAAAGTATTAGATAATAACTGGAACCTCCCTACTCTCCACGACCCTTATTATCTCAAGTGAGGTGAAAATATTATTCTCCATTTTTGGACCTAAAGTCCAAGTCAGATGAGTTGCCTGAACTTTTCCTATGCCCTATAGTGTATATGCTACTGAAAAGGAAAACTGCTAAGGGCTAACCACACAAAAATATTATTCCCAACCCACTGGATTTTGCCCATTGAACCTGTAAGTACGTAAGTCTAGCCCAACGAATGACAAAACAGACTCAGAAGTTAGGAGACTTGCCCAAGATCAAACTGATGTAACTAGGAAAAGGAAAATTGCTAAGGGCTAACCACACAAAAGTATCATTTCCAACCCACTGGATTTTGCCCATTGAACCTTTAAGTACATAAGTCTAGCCCAACAGATGAGAACACAGACTCAGAAGTTAGGAGACTTGCCCAAGATCAAGTTGATGTTGCTAGGAAACCTAGGACTAGATTTCCCAAGTCTCAATGTTATTTCCAATATTGACCAGAATGAAAAAGCAGTGGTACTTTGAAACTCTTTTAGGGATAGATAAATTCTGCTTCAAACTAATGCAAAAAGCAAAGTTATAAATAAAAATTATAACTGGAAAAGTTTAAAACACTTATGACTGAAAACTGAGAATCATTAAATTATAAAAGTAATTGAATTAAAGTCTTTCAAAACCAAAGACTGGAAAAATTAGCAGGGACAGTTTTAACATAAGTCACTTCCCCAACCAAGGATATAGAAATGTGACATATTTGGTCATTATTACTAAGAGATGAATATCAAAATAAAGTTATTACCAGCCTTACATTTGGCAACTCAAAGTAAGTTCTCTGACAATCTATTCCTGTGTACTCCAACAAACTAAATGAAGATAAATGGAAACTAATTCCATAAAGGTTGTCTGAGTGCATCTTTCTCACAAGTAGCCTTTCCAGTGATAATGTTATATGCTCTGTTTACAGAACCAGTGTCTGTATCTCTTAAGAAAACTGCTCCTGAGATCACTGCAAATCGGTTTCCTCAGAGCATAACACAACGAAAAGATTCTACAGAATGTTTCTACAGACAGGAGACCCCCTACGTGATCCAACTTCATCAGGTAAATCTCAAAGTTTTTAGAAGTATGAAAATGTTTATCAGTTGTAGGGTTCAATTCCTAACCCAGGGAAATTATAAGTCACTGAAAGAGCAGGCATTTTCATCTCCTAATTAACCAAGAAAAGGCGAACTAGTTGATTCATCGGATAAATCTATGAAACTTTAGTAATTCCTTTCATGGAATCTTCAAAATACGTCCATGTCATTCTAGCCTCCAGAAAATATGCCTGTGGTTTAAACATGAAAATTTCTTTTTTTAAAATTTATTTATTTATTTTGAGAGACAGCAAGTGCAGCATGAGTGGGGGGAGGGGCTGACAGCACAAGGAGCCTGACACAGGGCTTGATCTCATAAACCATGAGATAGTGACCTAAGCTGAAATCAAGAGTCAGATGCTTAACCAACTGAACCACCCAGGTGCCCCTTAAACACGAAAATGTCTGATCTACAAAGGTGTGTGTGGTTTGTTCAGAACTCTGCAAACCACTGAAACATAGTTTTTAGAACTGAAAAAGCATGTGGTGATTAAATGTATGTGGCATGAAGACACAGGCACACAGTTTACAGCTGAAGAGGACACTGAAAATGTTAAATTAAAATTCCCCTTGACAGAAAGTAGAACTATGGAATAAATCTGCAAATAGCCAGAACTACTAGAAAGAAAGCACTTCTGGATGAACCCATCTGGATTAAGTATCCAGTGCATGACTATCTAGTGATTGATGTTCTATTTGTTTTTACATGAAATACATATTATAACTTTCAGGTACGCTATTATCCCCCAAACTAAATATTTTAGATCAGATTATGCCTAAGACAAAAACAGAACCAAATACAATGCAAAAGTGATAACAATCTCACCTTCTAGATTCCATGATTTAAAAAGATAATGCATGAGAAATAAATTCCTTCATCAAAAAGGAAAAAAAAAATCCAACAATAGAATTGTTATTACTGTGGTTTTAAAACAACTAACGATTGAGTGGAAGTAGGTGAGGAGGTACAGACCTCTGCAACGGACCACCGCTTGCCAGTGTACAGTGTATATAACTAACTCTACTATATACTAAACTATGATAGCCTATCTAAGGCATCCAGTTCTAATGTTCCTTGATTCAATGTCATTGAAAAACATCAGTTCTTAATCTCTGAGCCCTACCTACTAGTTCAGAGTAGATTTTATCTTTAAGACATTAGGGAGATATTCTTCCAATCCGAGTCAGTTCCTCTAAAGAGTAGGGACTTCTGCTAATTCAAAATTTTGAATTGGATAAAATTATGGGAGAGGAACAGCCTCCTCAGTGCCCCTTAATGATTCTATGCCTACACAAGGAAAATCTTAAACAGTTTTCCATTAATATATTTGTGCCTCAGAAGCTACTGGGTTCCTTGCCACTGTTACTGAAAACATCACAAGGTCAATCTTCAAAACCAAGTTAACAAAGATTTACTTGGCCAAATGAGCAGTCTCATAGAATCCATTTATTATTGCTCTATTATAATTACATTTTTATTGCTCTTATCTTGTATTGTCTAATTGCATAATGCTTTCACATAAAAGCAACTACAGAAAAGTGCATGTAGCTAGGAATCAAGTTGTATTCACTTGAAAAAAAAAGTCCTTTTTTCTTCCAGCACATATTTAAAGGAGAGACTGAAGATGAACATTCTGAGTTATTCTAGTTAAAAAGTAAATAATTAAAAAAAAAAATCAAGGTCAGTTCATTGGTCTCCCACAGACTGCCAGGCAACTCTATAAACATCCCTCGTTTCTGCACACCTCTTACCTTCAGAGAATATCCACAATAACTTATCCTAAGATGTTATAAACTAATGTTGCTCTGCACTACCATATAAGTAGATTTTAGTTTTTCCTTGGATTCTGTATCTAATCTTCTCAAAAAAATGTACAGTATTTTAAGACAAGATTTCTATTACGGTCAACCCACAAGTATCCAAGTTAGAGTCATTCAAGTTAAAAATATTCTTTTTGATTCCTCCCAGACTCTAAGTCACTCTCAGCATTTAAGGAGGCGTACACAAGATGTGAAACAAACTCAAGTATTTGCGACCCTGAAAAGATCAAAAAGACTACTTACATTTCAAGTTTGGTGAGGGAAAGCAAATCATTTGTAATTCATTTATACTTGTTCCTCCCATATTGCTGATAAGTTTTATCGCCAAGTTGCTTAAATGTTCTAAAAGTTGTTGCTGCAGTTACTGCCTTATGAAAACTTTGTAATACTTTCAGCGATAATGTTAAATCTAGATTTATAGCAAATTCCAGGTAGTAAAAAACGGAACGATCACAGAAGCCAAGTTATTTTTTAACTCAAAGGGAGCTACCAAAAATCTGTATGTATCCTGTCATACAGGAACTGCTCCCTTTTAAATAAAGAAGGGAGTTACTTCTTGGCATCTTCTTACAACCTTTTTCCTTCATTATCTGAAACCCGTGCATCTTTTTCAGATGCACTATTTCCTGTGACTGGTTTATTTTCAGTTAATTTGTATGAGATCTACAACCGGGAGTTCCTTTTGAATATCAACTAGCTGTTTCCGGGGGTATGAACTCTAGAATTCCTAAATTCTCATAGCTGTGCCTACATTCAAATCTCCAGTCTGCTCAACAGCAGCCTTGCCCTTGCAAACAAAAGCTTGTGGTGGGTTGAAGGCTCCGCGCGAACACCTCAAGGTGTTGTAAGTCCTGGACCAGCAGCCACACCACACAAACCTTTCTCAAAAGCAGCTCCAGGCTCTGCAAGATTAAGTCGGGGAGAAGTTCCGACCCGCCTAACCCTAGAGAACCGGAGCCTTAACAAATTGGCCAGACTTGTGAGGGATGCATACTGGGAGGAGGGGAGCCCCTGAACAGCACTAGGGCTTGAGAGGGAGAAGTCCAGGGATGCAAGGTGGTGCCCGCGCACGCCTTGGCCACCTAGTCGATGCCACAGGCAGATACCAATCCAGGTAGTAGAGGTCTGGCCTCCTGGCCCTCAGGCGCGCACGAGCTCGCTAACACGGGCCGCGGGAAACAGCTTGTGCTGAAGAAGCAGCACACGCGCCGCCACCCCCACCCCTCAGCCGGTTGCTCACCGGTGCTGCAGACCCACAAGTCCCAGAGTGATCACATGCGGTACATCTAGCTGCGTGGGCCACTCTCCTGAGGCGATGCACCCGAAGACGCCACATTCCTCTCGGATTCCCAACTCCTCCAGCTCCATGTCGCTGCCGAAAGCACGTGGAGGGACCTGCAGCCGCGGCAGCGGCCTGAGCACCAACCAGCTGCCCGCTCGGCCCTTACGCCTCAAGCTCGCTTCCTTCCCAGCCGCACGACCCTAGCTACTGCGGCGGCGCGCGCTTTCCCAAAGTAAGCGTGATTAGCTCGCCCCCTGCCACCCTGCCCCGCCCCTTCAGTATTCACCAATGAGCGTGGAGGGGGCTAGAGGCTCCTTGGCTGAGAGGAGGAGTCACAGACGCCTAGGGTGGAGCTAGTCCTCCGCCGGAACCCTACGGGGAGCTGTTTTTGCTGCACGTGGAAATCTCCGTTATTTTCCAACATCCAAGGTTAGGGTGATGAAAGTAGTAGGGTTAACGTCATTTCTCTGCCAGAAGATGTAAATTTTGTATGCTCCTCCGCACATGCTTTCCCCCGGTCGTCATTACTTGGTACGCTCCAACCTATGAACCGCTCTGGCTGAGGAGAAGGGGGCTGGTCAGCGAGCCTCTGTAGAGTCGGGAGGGGCCGCCAGTGCGCGCCACTTTTCGCCTCTTCTGGAACAGCGCCCGCGCGGGGTGGTAGGGGTGGGGGGAAGCCTGCGTTTCTGCGTCTGCGCGGCGGGAAGCCTCGGGGGTAAAGCTAGCTCCCGGAGCCGAAGTTCCGCCGGGGCAGCAGAGAAGACAGGCATTCCTCCGGACTGTGGTACTAGCTGAGAGCCTGAGTCTGCGCTCCGTAATACCAGGCGTGGCCGGGGGTGGGTCTGTGCGCCGCCCTCCCTTCCCCGCCGGGTGAGCCTCTCTGACCACTCCTCTTTTCCAGAGCCCTGCCTCTGTTCCCAGCGCGGCGTTTGCCCTCAGCCCACGCAGGATAATGGCTACAGCTGAGGGTGAGTAACAGGCATCCCCAGGAATATTCCGGGGACTCCCTGCCCTCCCGCCTGGAGCTTGTGAGCTCGGTGCGGACACGTGCGCGCCCTGCGGCCCTCCTGGCTGCCTCTCCCACCCCCGGGCGGTGTCTGTTCTCCCTGCCGCCTTCTCTTTAGGCCGCTGGGCGGGTGGACACGTGGCCCAGGCACCGCCAAGAGAGGCGTAGGAAACCCAGCCCTCCCGGGCCTCTCCGAACTTTCTGAAATACTCGGAACTGACTCTGGATTGGGGAAAGGAAACGAAGTAGAGAAAGAGTGATTACAAAGAGAAATGGTCAGGGGTTGGAGAGGTGCCTGAAAATCGTGTTGGTAATCAATAGATATTGCAAAACAATCACAGAAACGTGTGGATTTTTCAAAGTCCTGCTTTTCCTATTAGGTTAGTAATAACCTGCTATCTCCTTAAAGTTAATAATTGAATTTACTGAAAATTTACTTTTTTTCTGTCCAGATTTTGTATGTGTGTGTGTTTTATAGTCTTTTGATGCCATGATGGCTTTGAAGAGCTCCAAAAGCACCAGGCAAAAAGTTGCCTTGCTTTAGTTTGCATTTATAGTTACATAATCATTTTATGTGTGAGTGATTAGATCCTCAGGAAAAATAGCTTGTGACATTTATGCTGGTTAAGTGTGTTTTTCCCCACACGCCCAATTTTTAAATTTATGATGAACCAACTTGTTTGTGTTGGCTAGTCAGTACATTGTCTTCCACAAAGAAAATTGAACTTAGGTAAAAAAATATATATAGAGACCAAACAAAAAGATCCAGATGATAACGAGTAACAACTCCATAAAATCAGGGTATTAGAACAGGTCTTTTCCTTCCATACATCCAAACTGGTAGAATCTAACTGGCAGGTTAATCTTTCTCAAATGGCACTTTTATGATTTCTAAATGGCACTTCCTTGCTCAAAAATGTTCAGTGGCAACCCAAGAGCTATTAAAATTCAGTCTGAAGACCCTTTCACCTCCTGCATACTGCTTTCTTCCTATCCCTTCAACCCTAACTTTGATTTTTCTCTCTTGTGAATCCTATACCTATATTCCAGTTAGGTTAATTCACCAAGTTCACTCATCTGTGTTCATTTATGCGGTGTCTAGGAGAACAGTGCCAATAGAAATATGTAAAACTCTATGTAACTATGTTTTCTAGTAGTCACATTTTAGGAAGTAAAATGAAACAGGTGAAATGAATTGTAAATATATCATATGTAGCCCAGTATATCCAAAACTATATCGTTTCCGCATGTAATCAATATTTGTAAATGTGTGCTATTTTGCATCCTTTTTTTCCCCCATCTTGAAATCCATTGTGTATTTTAAACTTAACTCACATCTCAATTTGGAGTAGCCGTGTTTCATATTTCATGACCAAATGTGGCTAGAGGCTCCCTTACTGGAGGGAACAGCCCTAGACTTTTTATCTCCTCTCTGTGGAAGTTCTATACATTTCAAGACTCTTAAATTTCAGTGCCACAAATTGTTTTCAGTCATCAGTCTTTCCTGAATTCATCTGCTAGTTCTTAGCAGGCGTTTTGGCACTTGTAATATATGTCTCCTATGAGTATGTTTTTTCTATCCATTAATTGAAATTCCTACCCTGTTTAACAACTAGGTAATAAATATGGATTCAACTGAATTGTGGAGGTGCAGTAGTTAAAAACTTTCTTTTGCCTCGTAGCTAACCTAGGAAACATCCTTGACTTTCCCCCTCTTTTATCCCTATGTTGAATGAGTGGTTCTTAAAACTTTTACCTTTTAAATATCTTGAGCCTTTCAATCACTGCTTTTTCCTTAGACCAGGACATTTCTTGGGCTGTATTGCTGCAAGAGCATCCTAACTGGTCTTTCAGTCTTTAGTTTTCTTCCATCCACCCCTTCCTCATTTCATTTTCCACACAGCAGCCATAATCTTTCTAATATAGGAATCTGTCATCTTGCTGAAGTGTTTAAAAGCCACATGGTTGTTCTTAGGATAAAATCTACACTTGGGGCGCCTGGGTGGCGCAGTCGGTTAAGCGGCCGACTTCAGCCAGGTCACGATCTCGCGGTCCGTGAGTTCGAGCCCCGCATCAGGCTCTGGGCGGACGGCTCAGAGCCTGGAGCTTGTTTCCGATTCTGTGTCTCCCTCTCTCTCTGCCCCTCCCCCGTTCATGCTCTGTCTCTGTCCCAAAAAAAATAAACGTTAAAAAAAAAAATTAAAAAAAAAAATCTACACATTATCAACATGATGTATGAGGCCTAAAGAATGAATAGTGAAATGCAAGGGAAGGAAACTATGTTTGGGCCAAGAGAGAACATGTCAAAAGCCTGTGAGTGGGATATAGAAATTCATTCATGGAAGTTAGAGTTCTGGGAAGGGAATCAAGAAATGTGAAGTTGGAGCACTAAGCTGAGGCTCTATCTTGAGGAGCCTTTTAAACCTTGTCAGTGAGTCAGGACATTATGATAGGGTGGGGATTCATCCTCCAGATTAGGTACCCTGCAGTGGCAACTATTAAACTGAATTGTAACTGGTTTAATGGTTACCTCCGCTAGCTGGTGATCTTACCCCTGCCCAATTCTTCCTTGTCTTATCTCCTGCCATTCTTTTTTACTCTCAGCTGCTGACCTCCTTCCCCTACCCTATAGCAGTGCATGCACACACAGTGTTCCAACCATATTGAAGTTCTGCCATGTACTGTTTTACCCCATGGTCACCGTCACTACCTACCCCTTTTCCTCTTCTGGCTAAGTGTTTATCCTTCCTCTGATCGCAACCTAATCCTCACTTTGTTCCAGCCTTTCTTCTCTGATGTCTAGACTAGGTTAGGTGGGCCTGCTGTGAACCTGTGATCCTATAGTCTGTTTCTTTTTTTTTTTTAATTTTTTTTTCAACGTTTTTTTATTTATTTTTGGGACAGAGAGAGACAGAGCATGAACGGGGGAGGGGCAGAGAGAGAGGGAGACACAGAATCGGAAACAGGCTCCAGGCTCCGAGCCATCCGCCCAGAGCCTGACGCGGGGCTCGAACTCACGGACCGCGAGATCGTGACCTGGCTGAAGTCGGACGCTTAACCAACTGCGCCACCCAGGCGCCCCCCTATAGTCTGTTTCTTACATCATACTTGTTATGATGTCCTGTTTAATTTCAGCTTCCCTCAGGCTCAGGTCTCATGAGAACAAGAACTCTCTCTTGTTTACTGGTATATCCCTAGTGTACCTGGCGCACAGACACTAAAAAATGCCAATACTAAGAATGAGTCCTTGTTCTGGGAATGTGAGGGTTATTTCTTCCCTTGGAAATTTTAAGTCCTTAAACTTCTGTTACCTCTGATCTTCATCTAAATCATTCTTTCTAATGACCAGAGTCTACTTCTTTTAGGTCTGTGACCTGCATCAAAATTAGAGTCTCTTGTACTCACTTCCTCACAATTTCCTACATCTTAGTGTGGAGAAAGGATTAACAGTGGGGGATAGGGAAGAAAGATTAAGAAATAACCACCTGGGTGGTTCAATCAGTTAAGCGTACAACTCTTAATTTCGGCTCAGGTCATGATCTCACAGTTTGTGAGATCAAGCCCAGCATCAGGCTGTATGCTGTCAGTATGGAACCTGCTTGGGATTCTCTCTACCCCTGTCTCTCTGCCTCTCCCATATTCGTGCACATGCTTGTGAACTAAAAAAAAAAAATAGAGGCTCTTGGAAATGGGCTAACTTCAGTGGGTGGGGGGTGCCTCTCCTTACACATCAACTAAACATCAAGAAACCCTTCTGGCTGAACTTTGCCATTTTGCCTGCTATAGAAAGCTCTGAGGCTGTAGCCTGCTTGAGATTCTCTCTCCCCCTCTCTGTCTGCCCCTCCCCTGCTTGTGCTCTGTCTCTCTCAAAATAAATAAAAAACTTAAAAAAAAATTTTTTTATTTTCTCTAGTTTGATTGTAAGAATATGGTATAAGATACACATAACGGACAAAACACATTACCCAAGCATTTAACATTACCTCTGAACAGATAACGTTGATCTTCTGATCAGCAGTAAACTATTAGTTAAGATTTGGGGGAGTAAAAGTTATATGCAGATTTTCAACCCTAAACCCCACATTGCTCAAGGGTCAATTGTAATTATTTACATAGTTCTAATTTTTCACAAAATTGTGTGAATCAAATATGCCTGTGAAAATACTTTGTAGGGTATAAGGTTCAATGCAGGTGAATGAATTTTTATTAAAATTATTAACCACTTTGTATGTTCCCTGATTCATCATTCTAGATAATTCAGTCTTCAATTAGGAAATTTTTCCCTAAAATCTGATGTTTCCATTTTATTTTCACAGTGCTGAATATTGGTAAAAAACTCTATGAGGGTAAAACAAAAGAAGTCTATGAATTGCTAGATAGTCCAGGAAAAGTCCTCCTTCAGTCCAAGGACCAGATTACAGCAGGAAATGCAGCCAGAAAGAATCACCTGGAAGGAAAAGCTGCAATCTCAAATAAAACTACCAGTTGTATTTTTCAGTTGTTACAAGAAGCAGGTAAGTGGCTCTCCCAATAGCCTCCACTTTCATATTCTCTCTCACACACACATACTGGTCCTTTTCATGGGGGAAATGACATTATTTGGATTAACAGCTTGTTGACTACCAGGTATATTTTTCAGTTGTTACAGGAAAACAGGTAGGTGTCTCCCTGCACAATCTCCTTCCTTTTGAGTGTGCACGTACACACAGGGCACACTCTGATCTCTTTCATCGGTAGTTGACATTATTTGGGTTAACAGCATGTTTTTGGGGATGTGTCACAAGCTAAGCTTTAAGTTAAATCAAACCAGGAACTCTTAAATTTCACTATAACACTTTACTGAACTTGGAATTAGTAATGCCATTTAGTTAAGGAATCTTAACAGTTTGCTGTGGTCTTTCTCTGACACACATATATTTTATGTAACTTTTCTCTCCTAGGACATCTTCCTAGGAGAGACTTCTCTATGAGGGAGGCCTATTCTGATGTTAGGTAGTTATAATTGGAGAGTTGAAATTTGGTACCTGCAATTCTGGGCATTTACTCTTTGCTCTGCGCCTTGGAGATAAGACAGAATTTCAAATCCCTTTTCCACTTGAAAGCCCTGAAAAGTATTTGAAGATTGCCACACCTTCTCACCCTGTCCCAAGTGAGGAATTTAAACTAGATCAAAGATCTCCAAGGTTACCTCCTACTCTAAAACTGAAAGAAGCCTATTTTGTATAGAGACATCTATTCAAAAGGATGAAATTAAGATCAGAACTTTCTATGGAGGGCACTTGAAGTAAAGAAAGGGGAATTAAGATAATGGGCTTTTCTGCAGGGATTCAGTTAACAGCTGATTTGTCTGTAGTGTAGGAAACCTCTGTTAATAAAAGATTTGAGCTCTTCTGGGGCTCCTGGCTGGCTCAGACAGAAAAATGTATGACTCTTGATCTCAGGGTCATGAGTTCAAGTCCCACGTTGGGTGTGGAGATTACTTAAATAAATGAACTTTAAAAAAATTTTGAGCTCTTTCCCTCAAGTGTAAAAGGCCTCATTGCCTGGGATCACTCAATCTTTGAACCCTCCAGTTCCTTACCTATAAAATAAAAGCTTAGTTTTATACTACCCTAGTTCTAACTTTATAATTTAATAGTTTTGTCTCCTTTTACTTCCCAGTTGCCCTTTCATTTCTTAGAGCTTCCAGTAAGCATTTTATTTATTTTCAGAGAGAGAATCCCAAGCAGGCTCTGTGCTAACAGTGTAGATGCGGGGCCCAAACTCAAACTGTGAGATCATGACCTAAGCTGAAATCTAGGGTTGGATACTCAACTGACTAAGCCACCCAGGCGCCCCAACAATAAAGTATTTTTTAACTAAGGTATGTACAGTTTTTTAGACATCGTGATATTGCATACTTAATAGACCACAGTATAGTATAAAATATAACTTGTATATGCGTGGGAAACCAAAAAATCCATTTTGATTTGTTTTATTGTAATAATTGCTTTATTGTGGTCTGGAACCGAACCCTCAATATCTTTAAGGTATTGCAGGATTTCTTACCACAATACCCAGGATTCGTTGTCTCCCTGCTTCAAAGAATGAAGAGGTGGACACAAAATGAGCAGTGGGCAGAAGTTTATTAGAGGATAAGAAAGTAAGAATAGTAGGAAAGCTCTCATTACTGAGAAGGAACATTTGAAAGTGAATGCTTGAGGACTCTAGGCTAGGGTCTTTTTTTTTTTTTTTTTTTTTTTTTTTTTTTTTTTTTTAAATACGGATCTGGTCAGCCCTCCCCCTTGCCTTCCCCCTTGTTCTTTCTCAGACTGTAGTCTTATTGGCTTGCTAGTTCTAGGTTCTGGGTTGTCCATGTCTGGTTGGCTCTTTCCATTGTATGAGGAGTGGTCTGTGGCCTTACTTAGGTCTTTTGTCAAAATCTGGAGGGGAAACCTGAGGGGGAGTAGGTGGAGTATGTTGCATTCTTAAGAGGAACCTTATGCCTGAGGGGACTTGCTGTGGTCAGACACTCCCAGCATTGTTCGAAAAGAGGTGTTTTTCCCTGCCAAGGGATTTAAGGCCCTAATCTGTCCCTCTCTGCCTACTGAATCCTCTTCTCTTATCATAGCATGTTTATAATTTCTCTTAATCTTTCTAAATCCAAAGGAATTTAATAACTTTGTTTTTAGTCAAGATAGATATACCTACCTTCCACAAAATAACAAGGTAATTCAAGTTAAATCAGTTTTGTCTGTACAGAATGGGTTCTTGAATAGTTTTGTCTCTTTCATCATTTTCTGTTGAATGTTTTTTTTTTTTTTTAATTTTTTTTTTTTTTCAACGTTTATTTATTTTTGGGACAAGAGAGAGAAGAGCATGAAGGCGAGGGGCAGCTAGGGAGACACAGAATCGGATGGCTCCAGGTCTCTGAGCATCAGCCAGAGCCCCATCGCTGGCTCAACTCACGGACCGCGAGATCGTGACCTGGCTGAAGTCGGACGCTTAACCGACTGCGCCACCCAGGCGCCCCTGTTGAATGTTTTTAAGTTAGCGTGGAACTAACTTAATTGACAACGTAATTTGTCTCCATACCATAAATCCTTCTATACATTGAAAGTGAGTGTGTTATTATAAACTTAAAGGACCACTCAGATTTCCTAAGTAATACGATTTTAGGATTTTTTTTTTAATGTTTGTTTTTGAGAGAGCATGCAAGCAGAGGAGGGACAGAGAGGGGGACAGAGGATCCAAAGCAGATTTGAAATCAAGAGTCGGACGCTTAACTAACTAAGCCATGCAGGCACCCCAGCAGCTAATTTTTTTATTGTTAACAATTTATAGTATTAAGCAACTTTTTAAAACGTTAATATGTATAGGAGAATGAGATAACTTGGGAGGTTAAAAATGGATCACTTAATCTGTACTGCAAAAGGAACCTAAAATTAGTTTGATGCTCTGTATAAAAACCTGCTCAGTCACTGAGAAACCACCAGTCAAGGAAGGCTTAAAATAAAAATTCTAAAATCAGGGGTCCTGGGTGGCTCAGTGTGAGTTAGGGCCCCACTTCGGGCTTGCTGCTGTCAGTGCAGAGCCTATTTGGGATTCTCTCTCTCCCTCCACCTCTCTCAAAATAAATAAATAAACATTAAAAAAAATATAGCACCTACGTATCCATAGTAATTATACATAGCTACAGAATTGCATGTATATATATATTTACATATATATAAATGCTCTCAAATAACAAGGTAAGTACAGGCCCAAGTTTTTTTTTTATTTTTTATTTTTATTTATTTTTCGGACAGAGAGAGACAGAGCATGAACGGGGGAGGGGCAGAGAGAGAGGGAGACACAGAATCGGAAACAGGCTCCAGGCCCTGAGCCATCAGCCCAGAGCCTGATGTGGGGCTCGAACTCACGGACCGTGAGATCGTGACCTGGCTGAAGTCAGACGCTTAACCGACTGCGCCACCCAGGCGCCCCAGGCCCAAGTTTTTATTTGCTTATTCAGGAAGGGAGTATTCAGTGTGCTTTTTGGGGCTTAACAAAAAGTAAGTTAAGGTGACCACGTTGTCTCTCTTTGTCCAGGATTTTCCCAGTTTTGACTTTGAAAGCCTTGCATTTTTAAAGGGAAAGTTTGTTACCCTAAATGAAGTACTCCAACAATTACATTTAAATCACTGTGTTTGGCATACTTAACTAAAACTTACTTGGTTCACAGGAAATGTAGAAAGATATTTTTCAGGTTTTATATACTGTGAAATTAAGGAAAACTTTAGTTTTAAAAAATTCTTAGATTTGTTGTAGAGGATAGATTAGGAATTCTGTTGTTTTATCTAATTTTTACTCACTGACAGTTAAATAAATGGTATGTTTAGTTGACCCCTAGTGGTCTATTTGAAATTGCTTTCAGGGGCACTTGGGTGGCTCAGTTGGTTAAGCATCCGACTTCAGCTCAGGTTATGATCTCATGGTCTGTGAGTTTGAGTCCCACATCAGGCTCTGTGCTGATTGTAACAATACATACATTAGGGGTGCCTGGGTGGCTCAGTCAGTTAAGCATCTGACTTGGGCTCAGGTCATGAGCTCACGGTTCGTGAGTTCAAGCCTCACAATGGGCTCTGTGCTGACAGCTCAGAGCCAGGAACCTGCTTTGGATTCCGTGTCTCCCTTGCTCTCTGTCCCTCCCCTGCTCGCGCATGTGCGTGCTCTCAAAAATAAACAGACATTAAAAAAATTTTAAAATAATAAACACATTAAAAATTGTTTTAATTACTTTCTTTATAAGCAAGGTTATGTTCTAATTAAGGTTTTTCTAGAAATTAGAGTGGGAAGGGTACCAAATGACAATTAGTAAATTAGGATTCTAGTTTTCTCATTGTCAATCATAAGCGAACTATAAAATACTGTACAAATAATAGATACAAGTAATATTTCTCCATGGAAATAATATTCTACATACTACACCTGAGTTATAAAATGTGTGGGTTTGGTCTCAATACTTAAAAATCAAAACTTAATCTTTTAAGTCTCGGTTCTCCCACAGAAACCTACTGTAATTACATTTAGGTGTGTTAGTAGTCATGGGTATGAGTCCTGCAGTTGCTAAACCACAGACAAGAAGCTGGACAGCCTTAATACATGGGTGGCCCCAGAGATAATGTGGACTGATTAGTTGTCAGACACAGTAATTCAGAGTATGAAGTGACATTTGCTACATGGTAGGAGTTCTTTTTCTCATTGCATGCAGTCATGAAATTTGCTAAGATGATGTGTATTAGAGCAATCATCATCTAAACTGAATTTTTTTTTTTTGAAAAAAATTTTTTTTCTGTGTAAGAGTCTTGCCGTAAATTGATTCTGTTCTTTCAGTTCTCTTAAATGTGAGGAAGGGTTTTCCTCTGAAGAAAGTAACGATTGTTTATGTTTAAAGGATAGATGTGGACACTGGTCTTTCAAGCTTGGTAGACACAAATATGACTAATGATGAACAGATCTAAAAAGGAAAAATTCTTGAAGCTAGACATGTAGTTACTGCCTCAAGTTAAGGATTGACTTAAATCATCTGCCTATCCATGAGCATGAGCCCAATCATTCTTTAAAGGTTAAAATGACCATTACACTGTTATTCTTTCCCAGAGTTCCTGTTCATGTAGCATACTACAATTCTGTTACAATCAAATTGTACTGGTCAAGCACAGAGGGAATACAGAGAAAACAGTACAGGTTTTGAAACTGTTCCAGGCACCATTACTGATTAGCACCATGACCTAGCTTGTCAAATTACTTAACTTCTTTGAGCTTCTGTTTCTTTCACTGTAAAATGCAATGATACCTACCTGAAAATTTTTATAAACATAATAGCACCTACCTGAAAAATTTTATGTATGGTTAAATGAGATAACACATAGAACACTTGGCACAGTGCAAGACTTCCATAAATGTTGATTCCTTTCATGTATGGATATACATATGTATGTATATAGATATATATGTGATCAAAATTTTTTTCATTTTTTTCTGATGAGAAAAAATTGATTTTAGAGGATTAGATTGGGATTGGAGGTATTAACATTACAGTCTGAAGATGAACATTATTATGTTAAACCCATGCAGGTTTCCAGCAGCTGCTTCAACTCATGTTAATGCTATAGTATTCCCTTGTGCTGTGATGTAATAACACTTCTAGGAGAGGCAGTATAGCATAGTGGTTAATTGGGTAGCCACGCAGAGTTGAAAGTGTTGATTGGAAACCCTACTTTATCTAGTACTAGCTAACATGATTACTATGCTTCTATCCTTATCTATTTTGAATGTTTGCCCCTATTATCTACCTTCTCAGGTATTATGAGGATTAAACAAATGAAAACGGATTAATGATGCCTGACCTAAAGCAGGTCTTGCTACTTTTTAAAATTAAATTGTGGTGGAGTGGCTGGCTCAGTTAGTAGAACATGTACTCTTGATCTGAGGGTCATGAGTGTAGGCCTCATGTTGGGCATAGAGCTTAATTAAAAAATTAAGGGGCGCCTGGGTGGCTCAGTTGGTTAAGCCTCAGACTTTGGCTCAGGTCATGATCTCGTGGTTTGTGAGTTCAAGCCCCGGATCGGCTTCCTGCTGACAGCTTGGAGCCTGCTTCGGATACTGTGTCTGCCTCTCTCTCTGCCCCTCCCCTGCTTGCACTCTGTTTGTCTCTCTCTGTCTCTCAAAAATAAATATTTAAAAAATATTTTTAAAAAATTGTGGTAAAAGATACACAATAAAATTTATCATTTTAACCATTTTTAAAATTTTATTTTTAAGTAATCTCTACAGCCAACATGGGGCTTGAACTCACGACCCTGAGATGAAGAGTTACATGCTCTACTAAGCCAACCAGACACCCCTCATTTTAACTATTTAAAAATGTAAATTCTATAACATTAAGTGCGTTTACAGTTTCCCGTTTTCAGAACTTTTTTACCATCTTAGATGGAAACTATGACCCATTAAACAAAACTCTCCATTCTCCCTTCCCAGCTCCTGGTAATCTCTATTCTACTTTCTGATTATGAATTTGCGTTTTTTAGGTACCTCATGTAGGCGGAATTATACAATACTTTTATTTCACTTAGCATAATGTTTTCAAGGTTTATTCATGTTGTAGCATGTATCAGAGTTTTATTTCTTTTTAAAATGACTGAACGATAATTCATTATATGTATATTGTACATTTTGGTTATTTATTAATTTGTTGATGATTGGCTATTGTGAACTTTGGTGTACAAGTATCAATTTGAGTCCCTGCTTTCAATTCTTTTCAATACTGCCTTTTCTAGAAGTGTTATTACGTGGTAGCACAAAGTAATACTGTAGCATTAACATGAGTAAAACATTTCCTGGAAACCTGTATAGGTTAACATAATAATGCTCATCTTCAGGCTGCCAGTGTTAGTACCTGGAATACCTAAAAGTGGAGTTGATCGATCATATGATTCATAAAAATTGTAACTAGTATTAGGTTATTTTGCAAGACCCCCAAATAAAATAGCTCCCATCACAAGTTAGCTCTTTATCTTAGTTTTCCACTAACATTTGAGTAAAAGAGAAGGGAAAGGAAGAACAAATGTTTTCTTTCCTCCTGGCCACATTGGCTGCAGTTCCTGCTGCTACCTATTGGAGACTTTTTTCAGGGATTATTTCCTTCAAATTTTAAGAGAAAAGGGCTATCCAGAATGTAGGGCTATATCTGCTTGTGATAAGTGGATTGATTTTTAAAAAAAATTCTTTTTTAATTTTTATTATTTTTGAGAGAGAGAGAGAGAGAGAGACAGAGAGTGAAGCAGGGGAGGGGCAGAGAGAGAGGGAGACACAGAATCTGAAGCAGGCTCCAGGCTCTGAGCTGTCGGCACAGGGCCCGATGTGGGGCTCAAACTTGCGAACGAGGAAATCAGACTTGAGACGAAGTCAGATGCTTAACCGACTGAGCCACCCAGGAGCCCTGTAGTTTGATATTTTATAAGGCCCATATAATACTGGTCTATCAAATATGAGAATCTTATCACCAAATCTGATTTAAAGATAATTAGTACTACTTAGATGAGTCATATGCCTAGTGCAAAGGTAGGTAAGCAGTAGCAGAGGAGTTACTCAGTATTTCTTGAATGTCTGAATGAATGAATGGTAAAGACTCTGAGACCCAGATCTTCTGATCCACTATATGCTTTGCCATGCAACATTAAAATGAAATATGCTAAATATTTTGATAAGCATTAAGAAAGCCATGTTAATAATTTTGTTTTCCTACTTCCACTTAAAAAAAAAAAAGACATATAAAGGGGGGTGCCTAGGTGGCTCAGTTGGACGTCCAACTTCTGCTTGGGTCATGATCTCATGGTTCATGGGTTCAGGCCCTGTGCCAGGCTGTGTGGTGATGGCTCAGAGCTTGGAGCCTGCCTCGGATTCTGTGTCTCCCTCTCTGTGCCCTTCCCTGCTTGCACTCTGTCTCTCTCTCAAAAATAAATAAACATTAAAAAAATTTTTTTTAATTACATTTAAGGATAACGCATTGGGCTAGATAGTTTTTGTTTCATTTTGTTGTGTGTTAACAGTTTTATTATGCCTCAGATGTACCTTTTTAAACACAGTTTTAATGCTTTTTAAAAAAACTTTTTATCAATATATAGGTATCAAAACTGCTTTCACCAGAAAATGTGGGGAGACAGCTTTCATTGCACCTAAGTGTGAAATGATTCCAATTGAATGGGTTTGCAGAAGAATAGCAACGGGTTCTTTTCTCAAAAGAAATCCTGGTGTCAAGGAAGGATATAAGTTTTACCCACCTAAAGTGGAGATGTTTTTCAAGGTAATTATTTTATATTTCTGTGCTTTACTATAACATAGCAACAAACTTAAAATTTCAAAATCAAAAGGTTTAAACATTATTAAAACTTTTGATATTGCACCTTTATTACAGAAATATGTCAATAATGTACATTTTTGTTATCAGTGATAATTCAGATTTTTAAAAGAAAACATTTCTGAAACTCTACTTAATCTTAACTTTGGTTCAAGATCACTACCAAAATGAATAAATTAAAACTAGCAGTTACTAGGAAGAAAACTTAACAATTCAGAAACTTAAAATTTTTTGAAGAGTTTGAAGTAAAGGCTAATACAAGGGATCTTTTTATATTAAAATACAGAAAAAACTATTACCAATGTCTGTTACAAGCAAAAACATAATAAAAATGTAGGAATCAGTGGTTATAAATTTGTATTTGTTTTCTTTATTGCCTGCTTTTCTCTTTCCATCTTTGTTTATGCTGTTAAGCATAGTTCCAACGTCAGAAGTAATGTCAGTGTAACATTTTTAAACAGTCAACTAAAATCGCCTCTCAGCCTTTTGGCCCAGATCAAGTATAATCAGTGAACTGCGTACCTTAAAATGTTTATATTATGGTTATAATACAAATCAAAAATTCATAAAAGAAAAATTTCTTTTTTTTTTTTTTTTTAAATTTTTTTTTTTTCAACGTTTATTTATTTTTTAGGGACAGAGAAGACAGAGCATGAGCAGTAGGGGCAGAGAGGAGAGCAAGATGAGCAGGCTCCAGGCTCTGAGCCATTAGCCAGAGCCCACGGCTTGTGAGCGAACTCTCGCGGACGCCATGGAGATGGTAACCTGGCTGGTGGAGGACTAAACTAGCTTCATAGCCCAACCCCATAAAGAAAAAATTTCATGTGAGGGGCACCTGGGTGGCTCAGTCGGTACGCATCGACTTTCTGAGCTCTCAGTATCTCCAGTTTTCAGGTTAGACCCAATTTATGCTTCTGTCTGAGCACGAGCCTGGGGCTACTTCAGGCCTGTGTCTCCTTCTCACCCCTCCATTACTGCTTAGAGCTCTGTCTCTCCCTTCATACAAATAAATAAAATTTAAAAAAAAATTTTTTTTTAAGAAAAATTTCATGTGAAATTGGGACACTACTTAGAATAAAATGAAAATCTTTTTTTTTTACTAATGTCTTTATATTAAGTCTTTGTTTCAATGATAACTAACCCTAGACATTGGTCGTTCTATAAGTTCTTATCAAACGGGGTTAGGAGGGTATTACCTGCCTGATTCATCTGATAGAGCATGCAGCTCTTGGTCTCAGGATCATGAGTTCAAGCTCTATGTTGGGTGTAGAGATTATGACTTGAGCCGAAGTCAGACGCTTAACAGACTGAGCTACCCAGGCACCCCAATAAACATTTAAAAAAAATAATTAGAGCTTTTGTTTTACAAAAATAAAAGATAGAAATCAAAAATAATTGTTGGGGTGCCTGGGTGGCTCAGTTGGTTAAGCATCGGACTCTTGATTTCAGCTCAGGTCGTGATCAGGCCACGAGAGATCAGGCCTGTGTGGGGCTGTGTACCGATGGCACGGAGTCTGCATAGGATTCTTTCTCTCTACCTCTCCCCAACTTGTGCTCGGTCTCAAAATAAACTTAAAAAAAAAAGATAATTATTGTGAATTAAAGGGTTATTTTAACCAAAATTTAAGTATTTAGAGAAAAATAATTCTGAGGAATTCTTGGTCAAGGAAAAAAAGACTTCAGTTTATCTCAAAAGGTTAAAATTTTTATATTTAATTGTATACCTTTACTCTGTTTTCAGGATGATGCCAATAATGATCCACAGTGGTCTGAAGAACAGCTAATTGCTGCAAAATTTTGCTTTGCTGGACTTGTTATAGGCCAAACTGAAGTGGATATCATGAGTCATGCTACACAGGCTATTTTTGAAATACTGGAGAAATCTTGGTTGCCCCAGAATTGTACACTGGTTGACATGAAGGTACAAATAAAATGGAGGTTTGAGAGTAAAGATTGTAACTGAGAAATGCCATTAGCTGTAGAGTTTTGAAAACTTTTCTTTGGTGATATGCTTTTTCTAGATTGAATTTGGTGTTGATGTAACCACCAAAGAAATTGTTCTTGCTGATGTTATTGATAATGATTCCTGGAGACTCTGGCCATCAGGAGATCGAAGCCAACAGAAAGACAAACAGGTAATGCTTCAGGGGTTTTTTATCCTTTGCAAGATCAGGCTGGGATAGAGGTGAACAGGAAAATGGAAGGAAAGAAAAGGCAATTATTACTCCCTGTGTTAAGAGCCTGAGTTAACTGCTGTTTACGTTTAAGGATAAATAAGTCTTAAATTTCTTGTACCCTGAAAAAAAAAATTACAATAGAAACAGTTTACATTTACAAAGCAGATTTCTCATTTATTATGACTGTCACACAGGGCAAGTATATTCTTGTTTGGCTAATTGAAAACTAAGGTACTGAGATGATGATAGATGTTGTCATAATTATAAGTGGCAGATCTGGAACTCTGTCCCAAGTGTTCTGGATCTTACCAGGTTACATTTCTGCTCTGTCTTACGAAAAACAAAATAAGGGCAGATGCTGTCTATACTTCATACATAAGAATTATCAGGGCAGTTAACTAAAGTTGCTAGTGTAGAAAGCACTTAATGAAATAAAATGAAAATACAAGTATACTTCACTATCTAAACTTTCTCTAGTTTAATTCAAGAAATGAATTTATAGACCCATACATTTTCAGATACATTCCTTGTTGTTCAGGCTCTTCGTAATCTACCCAAAACGCAAAAATCAAATAATTTTAGTTAGTAAAAATATTAATAATAGAATATTTATATTCTAAACTTTCTACCCTATTTTCTAGTCATATCGTGACCTCAAAGAAGTAACTCCTGAAGGGCTCCAGATGGTAAAGAAAAATTTTGAGTGGGTTGCAGAAAGAGTAGAGGTAAAACTTTTATAGTAAAGTCATACTGTACTGTGTTTTTCTTTAAGAAAATCTTGCTTCAAAAAGGAAAATAAAAGTGAGAATCTGTAGTTACTTTCTTTTCTCCAGTGGTTTTAAAACAAGGAGCACCTTTAAGAAATGTACACCAGACTCTTCTTAGTGACATACTAAAACCCCTTGCTGTAAAACTGGCCAGTACACTCCCAAATTCTGTTGGGGAATACTAGAATCCTTGTCTCCTCCCTGCCTCTTATATTTCCCACCCACCCCTCTCCACTGCTCCTCAGTGTTCCGTTAGCATGAGTTCCATAAGCAGATTTCAGAATTAGAACTCAATCTGACATTAAAATGTCACTTTAAGATTTATGGTGTTATTATTATAATTACATGGAAATTGTGATTTGTGGTTATCCAACAGTCATAGTTACTTTTAAGTACATCATGTCCATAGAAACATTTGCATTTTGAGTTCTAAGCAACCAACTGAAAAAAGATTTATATCTTTTTTATAGATTATAAATTATTAGCTTAACAAACAGGTCTAGAAACTAGATTGGCTGATTATGCCTTAAAATCTCCATTAAACTGAATATATGAAAAATCTTAGGATGAAGTATTTTATTATATTTTTAATGTTTATTTATCTTAGAGCAAGTGAGCAAGGGGCAGAGAGAGGGAGAGACAGACGGAGAATCCACAGCAGGCACTGAGCTGTCAGCACAGAGCCTGACACAGGGCTCAAACCCATGAACCAAGAGATCATGACATGAGCTGAAGTTGGATGCTTAACTGACTGAGCTACCCAGGCACCCCAGGATGAAATATTTTATATTACAGCTTCCTGAGTATTAATTAGAAGGGTTCAGTATTTATCCTTGCTTTGTATTATAATAGTAGATGTAATTTATCTCATTAAAAATGTTACTCTTTAGGGGCGCCTGGGTGGCTCAGTTGGTTGAGCAGTGGACTTCGGCTCAGGAATGATCTCGCAGTTTGTGAGTTTGAGCCCCGCGTTGGGCTCTGTGCTGACAGCTCAGAGCCTGGAACCTGCTTCATATTTTGTGTCTCCCTCTCTCTCTGACCCTCCCCTGCTCCCACTCTATCCATCTCTCTGTCAAAAATAAACATTAAAAAAAATTTTCTTAAATGTTATTCTTTAGGTCTTAAGTATGAAGACGACTTTTCTTTATATGTAGAGGTTATTTTGGAAAAGATATCCTCTATCATTTTGTCCTGTTTGTCTCTGTCTTGAATTCGGTCTATTAGGAAAGAAAATATTCCGTCCAGTTGTAATTTTACTATAGCTCTGTAAACTGACTATTCTCATGGTATTCATCTCTATATTTATCCATTTTTGCCATCTTTATTTTGCATGTCCGTGTTTTTCTTTTCTAGTTGCTTCTGAAATCAGAAAGTCAGTGCAGAGTTGTAGTATTAATGGGCTCAACTTCGGATCTGAGTCACTGTGAAAAAATCAAGGCGGCTTGTGGAAAATTTGGCATTCCATGTGAACTTCGGGTAACATCTGCCCATAAAGGACCAGATGAAACTCTGAGAATTAAAGCAGAGTATGAAGGTAAATGTCATACAACTCGAGCATTTCAGGAAGTTCTCCTGATTTTGCTAAAAATTTTATGCTTAGACTAATAATACTGAAGAAGAGCTATGCCATGTATCCAAGGAGAAAAATATGGTAGTCTAGGGTTTCATGATATGCACTTCCAAAGAAGGCACTTAGAAAAGAATGGCTCAAGGAGAAAGATTTGAAAATGCAACATGAGCACACCTAAAACTAATGCAACACTGTGTGCCAACAACGTTCAGTTATTTTTTAAATGTTAAAAATAAGTAAATAAAGGAGTAGAGCCCCCTCCTCGAAAAAAGAAAATGCAATATGGAAGGAAAATAAAAGTTAGGTCTTTAACTAATAAGAAGCCCCTCAAGTATTTCTGATATGCTCCAACAGAAAATAGGCCCCATATCAATTTTGGGAGGACTGAAGTTGAAGTAGCAGAGCCTCTCAAGTATTTTTAATGGACAGCCTTTCCTAGGAGGCGGTTAAACATAAAATTAAGGAAGAATTTTAATTTTTTAATTTTTGTTATTTTTTTTTATTTTTTTAAGTTTATTTATTTATTTTTGAGAGAGACAGAGTGGGCAGGGGAGGGGCAAAGAGAGGGGGAGAGAGAGAATCCCAAGCAGATTCTGCACAGTCAGCGTGGAGCCCGACACAAGGCTCAATCTCACAAATCGTGAGCTAAAACCAGGAGTCGGATACTTAACCGACTGAGCCACCCAGGTGCCCCAAGGAATAATTTTAGAATTTAGTATGTAAAAGAAATGGCTTGATGTGATAGTATTGATCTAGAATAATGGAGTCTCATACACCTGACCAAATGTTTCTAAACTGGGAAAAATGTTGATTTGAGTATACTTTCTCAAGGTAGTTGTTATAGGAGCATAGTTATTCAGTTTTGGGGGCCGGGGGACTGGGATAGTTTCTAGAGCTGTTTGTTAAGCTAATGAAAGCCTGAACTCTTTATCCAGAAAAATGTAAATACATAAAATTTTTAGATTTCAGGTTAGGAATCTGTGTTAAGAAACAAAGGAATAACTTATAAATTTATCAGAGAATGAAATGTTGAAGGGATATGTTAGAAAGTATATTGAAAAGACTTAAATATTTGGGTACTATATTACTGAATCTGTCTGCCTTTACTCATGTGCCCCTGAACCTCTAGTCTCTGTTAATGAGGTCTTCCTATACCCTGTTGGTTGAAGGATACCAGGATAGACCCTAGTTGGCGTAATGTCATTCTTTGTTCCAGTGAGCCTAAGCAGCCATAGGAGAAGGGGCCTTTGAGCTATTCCCTCACACACTCTAGTACTCCCTTTATACTATATATCTCAAAGATGGCCAAACCGCTCTCCCTGTTTTGTTACTTGAGATATAATAGGTAGCAGAGTGAAATATATATTTTGAATGTATATGTAATAATAGTGTCTTATTTTGCTTTTTGTGGAGACTGCTAATAAAGGAACTGAAGGAGTTAAGGCACATAGACATTTTGTTTTCACCTATCTTAAAACCTCCTTTCATTTACATGTGTGTAATTTCCCTAGGGGATGGCATTCCTACTGTATTTGTGGCAGTGGCAGGCAGAAGCAATGGTTTAGGACCAGTGATGTCTGGTAACACTGCATACCCAGTGATCAACTGTCCTCCACTCACTCCAGACTGGGGAGCTCAGGATGTGTGGTCTTCTCTTCGACTACCCAGTGGTAAGATGCATTGAATCTTTAAAACTGTTAAAAAATTTGGAACACACAAAATAGTAGAGAGAATAACATAATGAAATCTCATATACCTATTACTCAGCTTCATCATTTAACATCTTGTTACACATGTAGCCCTTCCCTGCTGGATTATTTTCAAGCAGATCTTAGATAAGAGCATTTTATACTTAAATATTAAGTATGCTTCTCTAAGCAATAAGAACTTTAGTTTTTAAATCATAATCATGATACCATATTCATAATAAGAAAAATTAGTGATAATTTCTTAAAATCCTCTAATTTTCAGTTAGTGTTCAAGTTTTTCTGATAATCTCATTTGTTTTTACAGTTGATTTGTTCAAATCTGGATCCAACACAGTCCTTACGGTGCATTTAGTTGATCTCTCAAAGTCTTTTAATCCTCCTCCTTTTTTTCCTTTCATTTATTCTATAGAATATTTAACATTTTGGATTTGGCTAATTACATTTCTGGATGTTTAACATGCTTTTCCGTCCCCTGTATTTTCTATAAACTGGTGGTGAGATCTATAGTTAGATTATGTTCAGGTTTGGTTTTTTTCCCCACAAGAATACATCATTCATGGTATGGAGTTTTTAAGGTAAATGTGATTGTTACTTCTGTAGAGGAAATGAAATTTTATTTCTATAAATTAGGGGCCAGAATAAATAACATATAAGGAAGTTTATCAATTGTCTGATTGAGCAGAATCTCATGAGTAATATATTGTGGTAGTTTTATCATAGTCCAAGATAATGATCTGATCTACAAGTCCTAGGAGTCAGTATTGTTTCAGTAAGAGTTGATTTGCTTGTTACTTAAGCCCCAAACTTTTTCAGAGTTGTGTAAATCTGCTCTTGGTATGTTAAATATGTTAAGTGCTTGAGCCCTCCAACCTGTTCCAGTATGGACTGGCTTCTCTCTAGGCCTACTCTGTCCTGCTATTGTCTTTTTTTTTTTTTTCCAATATATGAAGTTTATTGTCGAATTGGTTTCCATACAACATGCAGCTGCTCATCCTTAAAAGCCCTCCTCAACCCATCACCCACCCTCCCCTCCCTCCCACCCCCCCATCAACCCTCAGTTTGTTCTTTTTAAGAGTTCTTATGCTTTGGCCTCTCTTCCACTCTAACCTTTTTTTTTTTTTCCCCCCCCCCATGGGTTTCTGTGAAGTTTCTCAGGATCCACATAAAGAGAGAAACCATATGGTATCGTTCTTTCTTCATGGCTTTTATTTCCTTAGCATAACACTCTCCAGTTCCATCACGTTGCGTAGGCAAATATATTTCATTCTTTTCTCATTGCCATTTAGGTACTCCATTGTGTATATAAACCACATTCTTTATCCATTCATCAGTTGATGGACATTTAGGCTTTCTTTCCATAATTTGCATATTGTTGAGAGTGCTGCTATAAAATTGGGGGTACAAGTGCCTCTATGCATCAGTACTCCTGTTTAAAATTCTAGAGTGCTATTGGTCATAGGGTAGGTCTGTTTTAATTTTCTGAGGAACCCTCCAGCATCTATAGTCTCCTGGATTTGTTCTTTGGCCACTGACTGGCTTCAGAGGGATATCTGAGTGTGGTTTTGATTTGTATTTCCTGATGAAGCATGTTGTTAATCTTTTCATGTGCCTGCTCCATCTGAATTCTTCTTAGAGAAGTGTCTATTCATGTTTCTCCATCTTCTTTCAGTATGGTATTTGTTTTTAGTGAGTTTGGTAGCTCTTTATAGATTTTGGATATTAGCCCTTTGTCCTATATGGTCTGTAAAATATTTTTTCCATTCCGTTGGTTGCCTTTAGTTTTGTTGGTTGTTTCCTTTGCCTCCGCAAGAAGCTTTTTCTTCCTAAGGTCCCATAGTAGTTCATTTTTGCTTTTTAATTCCTCGCGCTTTGGGATGTGTCAAGTAAGAAGATTGCTACGGCTGAGGTCAGAGAGGTCTCTGCTTTCTCCTCTAGGGTTTTGATGGTTTCCTGCCTCACATTCAGGTTTCCTGTCTCACATCCTTTATCCATTTTGAATTTATTTTTGTGAATGGTGTGAGAAAGTGGTCTGTCTCTCTTCTGCATGCTGTTGCTTGTCCAGTTCTCCATGCACCATTTGTTAAAGAGACTGTCTTTTTTCCATTGGATATTCTTTCCTGCTTTATCAAAAATTAGTTGGCCATACGATTGTGGGTCTAGTTCTGGGGTTTCTATTCTATTCCATTGGTCTATGTGTCTGTTTTTGTGCCACCTGCTGTGGTCTTAGGATCTCTCTTTACCTGGACATGCATTTTGCCTTTCTCTAGTCTTAGATCTTCTGTTTCCTAGGTCATGTGTCTTCCCCTTTCTCTGTTTACTCCTAATTTGTCAGAGAGCATTCTTAGTTAACTCCCTGAGGAAGTAGTACAGTTGGTAAACTTTTTTGACACCTCATATCTATAACATATGTTTTAGCATAGCCTCATACTCCACAATTTAGTAATGGAATCCGGGGTTGAAAATTATTTTCCTTCAGAATTTTGAAAACATTACTCCATTGTCTTATATAGAGTTACTGAGAACTCTGGCACCTTTCCACCACTCCGATTCTAAGTTGTTTATGAATTTGGTTTTTTAAGTTTTGCAAAGGTGTGTCTTGAGTATTTTCATCTTGGGCTTTCAGTGGGCTCTTTTAATCTGAAATGCTGAGGGGCACCTGGGTGGCTCAGGCAGTTAAGCGTCCGACTTTGGCTCAGCTCACGATCTCACAGCTTGTGAGTTCAAGCCTGGCGTCAGGCTCTATGCTGATGGCTCAGAGCCTGGAGCCTGCTCCAGATTCTGTGTCTCCCTCTCTCTGCCCCTTCCCCAGCTCACACTATGTCTCTGTCTCTCTCTCTCTCTCAAAAATAAACATTAAGAAAGAAAATCTGGAATGCTGATTCTTTAGTCTGGGAAATTTTCTTCAATTAACTAATAATTTCCTTCCCCCTCCATTTTCCCTCTTTTCTCATTTTTGGATTTATTACTCACATTTGAACTATTCTGATTTCTAGTTTTTCTGTCTCTTATTGCTGTACTTCCTGGAATATTCCCTTAACTTTATATTCCAGCCCTTCTATTGAGTTTTTCATTCTAGATACGGAATTTTTAATTTCTTAGAGCTGTTTTTTGTTCTCTGGTCTTCCCCCTCCCCCATCCTTTTTTTTAATCTTTGCAATAACATTTTTTATCTCTCTTAAATTATTATAGTTTCTTTCACATTAGTTCCTTTTCTCACCTATCTGGTGTCTGGTAATCCTTGGCTGTAGAGTGCAGCGTTATAAAAGACCAGTGGGAAGGTCTGTGCAAGTGGATGGCACTTGTCAAAAGTGGGTTCCACTGTGGGGTGATCTGGAAGGGTTGTCTTTGAATAACCCCTCACATCAGTGTCACTTCATCTTTTCTCATGTGTGACCAGAATTACCCAAAGAATCTTTCTATTCTCAGTCTCCTCTACCTGGAGGAATAAACCTTGCTGCCAGCATTCTGGAATTTGATGATTTTAACATGTATATAAACTAAATTCCCTGTTTTCACTATAGCATTTCTTGCCTCAATTGTACCTGGTGCCCTCCAGTCCACAGAAGTCTGGACCAAAGTCTGTTTTACCTTCAGAAAAATTAAAGATTCCACTATGGTGCTGAAGGGGCAATTGCTCATGTACATTGAATGGGGCAAGGGATCTAATGGCCTGCTTCTCGACTCTCAGCCAGTCGGCGGCGGGGGGGGGGGGGGGGGGGGGGGGCTCATTTTTCACCTCCACTTCTCCCTTCAGAGGTATCTGGTGCCACTAATTCTACAGCCTTAGCATGGGTTTTTTAATGTTGGTCACATTGCTTTTCCTTTTTCCCTGCTTCCAGTTTGGGATAAAATTTTCCTATTTTACTAAGTTAGTTACCACTCCCATTTCCTTTTCAGCTGGCCAAATGTTATTGCTGTATCTCCCTGTTCTTATATGTTTATGTCTATTTTCTTTATTTCCTTTACTGCTGTTTTTATTTTTAATTTTTTTAAAGCTTTGGCAGATCATTTTTAGTTAATTCAATATAAAAAATAGGATGCCATTAATAATATTTTTACAGCTGGACATGTTTGGTCTATAGTCAGTACACATGTATTGAAAAAACCTTTTAGTGTAACATTCAGCTATTTACTGCTGTTTTTATACAGTTTCGCGGATATACTTTGTGATTAGCCCATCTTTAGATCTTTAGCTAGATATCTGATTGTATCAGCTACTCTAGTGAAAAATTTAGTATGGCTATAAATGAAAGTCTAACTAAATTTATGCTAGGGAATAGTATAGGTATTATCAAGGGAGTTTAGTAAAGGGGAAATGTGACAAGCAAAACTTTGGCAGTTTTTATCTAGTACTGTCCAAGGAGAGAGAGGGAATCTGAAGATTTGTGCATTTTGATCAGTAGAATTGGGGATAATCTTTTGGGGAAAAGTTTTACAGTGGCCTTTGTAAAATCCTGAAAACTCTATTTCTCTTTCTCTTATGGCATGCTCACTAGACAACCTAATTTTTGGTAGTTAAGCTTTCCTGATATCAGAAAGGGAGTCCTGAGCAATAGGCACAGGTATTTCAGACTCGAGTAGAACCCTGTGCCTAGAATACTGCTACTACTAACAGTTGACATTCATTGAGTACCAGACGCCAGGCACTGCTTCAAGCACTTTATCTGTATTCACTTGTTGAATCCTCACATAAGGTAACCACTAGTTATCATTCCCATCTTAATAGATAAGGACACTAAAATTAATGTGACAGCTGTCACATTCTAAGTGATGGAGCTACACAAATTGGTTTATTAATACAAACTAATAAATTGTGTGATTTATACTTTATTCTTACTGGGGGTAGTGGAAGTCAAAGAGCCTGATGAATTCCAAGAATATTAGGGAATGGAGCTTTGGGATCTATAAGCTAGTTAGTACTTAACTTGAGTGACACAGAGGTAATAGTACCACCCCAAGAAACTCTGCCTGAGCAAACATTTGCCCCCCACAAGGAAGTTACTTTCTTACTATACTGTCTTTTAGATCTTGTTAATATTGAATTTACTTATAACCTGATATTTGGTAAAATTATTCTTTGTTTGGACTTGTTATTGCTTAAAGATTTAGGATGGTTCAATTGCAAAGACAAAAGTAGCAGCTAGAAAATTATCAAAAAGATTAACACACTTCAAGTTTGTCTAAGAACAGGTGCTTCTGTCTACTTGATCTTTGTTTTATTTCTATTGTCTTTCACCAGGGATTTAAAAGTTTATTGTATGTGAAAAGAACTTTCGAAAAGGTGAATTTCTTTATAGTTGGATTCAGTGAAAGAGTGATAGACACTGTATATAAAATAGCTTTTCATGGTACAGAATTATTATCCTCTTATAATCTACTTTACCACTCTAGTAGTAGAGATAGAAACTCCTCCTGCAGATCCTACTTTAGACAAGGATGATACAGTAGCTTTTTATGGTCTTTGGTTAACAGGATTTCTCTGAGTGTAAAATAGTTTACTAGGGGGGGCCTGGTTGGTTCAGTTGGTAGAACATGTGACTCATGATCTCACGGTCGTGAGTTTGAGTCCCGTGTTGGGTGTAGAGATTACTCTAAAAAAAATAGTTTACTAATGGTGTTTTCATTATTGACAGCTCAATTTTCTGTCTTTTCCGTTTTGAACCATTAGGTCTTGGCTGTTCAACCATACTGTCCCCAGAAGGAACAGCTCAGTTTGCTGCTCAGATATTTGGATTAAACAACCATTTGGTATGGGCCAAACTGCGAGCAAATATATTGAACACATGGATTTCCTTGAAACAGGCTGACAAGAAAATCCGAGAGGGCAATTTATAAGAACATCATTGTTTTGGGGCTTTTTTTGTTTGTTTGTTTGCTTTTAGGAGAAAAACTACATTTCTTCTTTAGCTTCAGAAAAAAAAATCAAAACAAAATTTTTTAAATCAGAGAAAACAATTTACTAGTGAATAAATGCTTTTCTAGATTCATGGGTTAGTAGACTATATGGACATAATTATTAGCATTTCTTTAGAGGAAGTGAAATTACTGTAAGAATACTTTTAAAATCTCTTTAGCTATTGTATGGTCATTGTTAGGTAGATAACAATCGGATATATTTCTTAAATGCTGATAATGTCCTATTGTCGAGCTCTAAAGTTACTACTTGACCTTCTGAATCTCAACCCATAAGTTTTAGAAAGTTAAAATGCCTGTATCTTAGAGTGATAAGAGAAAAATATAGTCAGTCCTCTTTTACATTATGATCTTTATAAAATCCTAAGGGCATGTTGTTTTATTTGCAGTCAGTATCTCAGAATAGATGTGTATTTAGCTGTAGACAGATGCTGTCTTTGTTTTGTTTTTGCTTGTTTTCTTAAGAAAAGTTGAGATGGGTGTTAGGGGTAGGAAAGACTAAGTAGGATAAAGGGATACTGTGGAAGCCATGGAAAGGGGACTTTTCTGAGAACTTTTCTGCTGGGTGTTAGGGCAATTCCCCATGGAAAAAAAAGTATAGTGTGAATCACCTTTGCCATTCCAAATGAAAGATTTACTTAGCTATTATGGGTGCCTCTGTGATCCTAAAATTCTTTTAATTCTGATAATACATGTTTTAGCCAAACTAACAATCCTCAGCCTAATGTCATTTTTGAAAACTGGAATCTCCTAGTTGATAACCATTAAGTAGTTTCTTTCTTACCACAGAAGTCTGAGCAGGGTACCCAGTGAGATTCACCTCTAAGAGAGCAGTTGTTACTGAGAGGTGTTATAGTTCATCATCAATCTGTAAGCCATATTTGGAAGTCACTGTTAGGTTGTGCAGTCCTGAGTACTTTTTATAGATCACTAAACTTTAATCTGAATATCCATGAACCCCTAAAACTTCCAGGTAAAATTTTACATATATGTTCACATTTATAAAAATGGGGCAACCATAGTTTTTATCCAAAAGACCTGCATCCTCAAAAATGTTAAGAATCTCTCGGATGCCTGGCTGGCTTAGTTCGTTAGCCTCCGGCTCTTGATTTCAGCTTGGGACATGAACTCAGTCATGAGATTGAGCCCTGCATCAGGCTCAACCCTGGGAGGGGGCCTGCTTAAGATTCTCTTACTCTGCCCCTCCCCAACTCATTCTCCATCTTCCTTCCCTCCCTCCTTCCTTCCTTCTTTCTTGCTCTCAAAATAAACTTTCTTTAAAAATATTGATCTCTGGGGCTCCTGGGTGGCGCAGTCGGTTAAGCATCCAACTTCAGCCAGGTCACGATCTTGCGGTCCGTGAGTTTGAGCCCCGCGTCAGGCTCTGGGCTGATGGCTCGGAGCCTGGAGCCTGTTTCCGATTCTGTGTCTCCCTCTCTCTCACCTCCCCGTTCTTGCTTAATGCTCTCTCTGTCCCAAAAATAAATAAACGTTGAAAAAAAAAATTTAAAAAAAAATATTGATCTCTGCTACAGATCAAATCTGGATAAGACCCTTGCAACTGGCTTATACTGTCTATACCTTTTCACCTCCCTCTCAGCTGTTAACAAGCTATCATCTCATATCATTTCTTTTACCTGGTCTCTGTGGGGCAGGGTATGATTAACCTAAACCACTTCTTTCTTGACTAGACACCAAGATACTCCAACCTCAATCCTGAAGTTTTTCTTACATTATTCTTTCCCCTTAAGTATTGATGTTTCCTACACAGTCTCCCCATTATTTATAAGTAATCATTGGAGTAACTCCTTAAGCTAAAACCAGTATTACTGATTGCTGGCACTGTGTTTGTAGTCTTGTATTTCTGTCTGAATGCTTTAAACTTAATTCATCTTCTACCCAGCCTGTTAACTCTGGCTACACTCACTGCTCCAAATCAGAAGTGTTATTTCATACTTGATGCTTTTCTCTTACATTCACATCTCACTTATTACCAAGTTTTTAATTAACCCTATTTACCCATCATCTGTACAAAAGCTTCAAGTGGAGGTCAAATTCTGCATTATTAGGCTGATCTAGAAGGTCTCCATTCTCAGTGTTTTGAAGTTGTCTAGGACTTACAACATAAATTTACAATCTCTTTTGCAGTTTAGATTCCTTTGAAAATGAATGCCATTGACTCTGCCCGTAGAGATCGCACACACAATTTACCAACAGATTTCATTGGTTTTTGGTGTTCCCTTGAAGCCTATCCATGGTCTGTAGTTTAAGAATTACTAATGAAACTCATCAAGGGAACTCGCTTTCCATAATTTTTCAACTGTCACTTAATCTATGAGATTAAAAACCTTAATCTTTAATCTCTAAGAACCTTAAATTCTTAGAATGAGCTATTAAAATCTATTGTTATTAAAATTTGTTAGTTACTAGAGCTTCGTCTTCACACTCTGTGAAACCTTTCCAAATCCCTTCTAGCTACAATGGCTACAAGTAGTTCTTTGTTGGGTTGGAAGCTCCAATAGAGGAGAGGATAGAATCTTAGACTTTATTTCCTTCCTCACATTGCCATGTGCTATGCCTGTCTGCTAGAGATGGGAGAATTATAAAAACCATGTTCTGCTTCATTCTTTTATGTTCACAAGGACAAAAAGATACAATTTCAACATCTTTAAACTTTGGCTTTGTTGCTTCTGAATAGTCATTGGCTGTAGTTTCAACTCTTCTATCCCTACCTAGCAAAAACTTCACCTGTTTTTGTGTAGTACATGAAAAAAAATTCAAATGTTTAGACTAGTGGATAGAACTGACCTTTTTTTTTTCTTTTAACTTTTATTTGGTAAAGAGATAGCAAGCAGTGGAGGGACACAGATAGAGGGAGACAGAATCCCAAGCAGGCTCCACAAGGCTCCAGCACAGAGCCCAGTGTGCAGCTTGAACTCAGGAACTGCAAGATCATGACCTGAGCTGAAGTCAAGCGTCAGGTGCTTAACCAACTGAGCCACGCAGGTGCCCAGGACTGACCATTTTTAATGGTCATTATCCACTTCACTACTAGCTTCATAGAATATATATATATATCTTCAGTAGTGTTGTTACATTAGTACTAAAGTTCTTGAAAGTATTTTTAACTGTTACATAAATTAACTTACACAAATTTACCTGGTTTGCCATCTTTAGGTGTTTGTACTTTCTGTGGGCTTGTAGGTAAACATAAAAAGAAGAAAAATTTCTCCAAGTCATGTAGTACTTAAACTTTGTATCATAAAATCATGTTATAGTTGCTGTTGCTTTAATGCCTTCTGAAATGAAAACACTGTAGCCAAATAAAAGACAAAGATAAGTTCTTGTGTGAAGCTTTATTAATTCATCTATTCATGAAATACATGTTTTGCCTGGTTTAATTGTAAGCCCTAGGAAAGCAGCAGTAAATAGAAACAAGACCCCCACTGTCACAAAAATCTTATGGGACTACAAACCATGAAAGATCTATCAGGTAGCCTTAGGAAAGTATATGTGCATATGAAGACTAACCAAGGTGATAGGACAGTGCTGGGAATAAGAGGAAGGCTCTTCTGAGTAGAACAGAGCAATGATATACAAGAGCAAGTCATGCAAAAAGGTGGGGAAAATCACTTACTAAACAGGAAGTAAAACAGCTTGGCCTTTTTGACCACCTGCAAACACATGCCACTGTTGCTGGAGCTCTGGTGAGCAAAGGTAAGAATGGAAGATGATTGTAAGCAAAGGCTAGATCACTTGGGGCCTGCAGGGCACATTGAAGTGTGAAAGGAAAAAACACTGGAAGGTTTGAGCAGGGGCATAACATGACATTTAACATGTTTTTAAAGTTCTCTGGCTAGTGTGTGGATAAGCAAGTTAAGGGACTATTTATTATCCAGGTGAGGGATGATGTGACCTTCAGTAAATTGTTAACGCCTCAACTGCTTCAAATGTAAAATGAGACTAATACTACCTCCCTCATACTGTTAACAGAATTAAATGAGTCAACATATGTAAAGTATATCCTGACACATGAATATGTAACATTCCTTTGGCATATCGTAGATGAGTGAAACAAATTCACCATGAAAATTACCTTGAATTTATTTTTTAATTACCTTGAATTTAATATTCTGTTCAGCTGATTTCATTTCTAAAAATAGGGGAAAGGGCAGGGAATTAGCATAAAAATGTGGCTTATCCACAGTCCATCTTCAGCCCAGCAGTTCTTGGGAAGCCGGTGAAAATGTTTTAATGGCACTTTTTTTGCATTTAACTCACCACAACCTCAAATTACTTGGCATGGAGTTGTTCATCTAGCATTGTGGTACAGTGAAAATAGAATGGAAATAAAAGGATTTTCTTGGGCACATCACTTTGAGCTTCACTTCTCATTTGTAAAGTCGGGCTAAAATCTTTTCTGCCTACTTCACAGAGTAGATCAAATGACAAGATACTGTATATGGAAGTTGCTCAGGAATCACAAATGGCTAAATCCATTAGTGCAAAAATAAGGTTTTGAGTACTGATTATGTGCAAGATCCTGGAGATGCAACAATGAACAAGATCCATTTTCTGCCCTCAATCTTGGGGTCTTCCAAGGACAATTTCAAAGCACTACATCATCTTAACCTGGAGGAAAGGAGCAGAGATTCTGAGCACACAAAGGAGGAGGGGATTTAAAGAACAAGTATATGTTGTGAGTGAAAAGGAAGGACTCTTAGGAAGGATTCTTAACTCCCCACACTATTCTTAATCCCTCTTAACTTTCTTCATTAAATTGATTACCACTGGACATTGTATATATCTCTCCCAATTAGAAAATACATTCCATGAGTACACTGGATTGTCTTTTTGTTGTTAATTGTATACCTACCCAACTAGTAGCAGAATGCCAAATACCAGCACATATGAAGCATTCAGTAGTATTTGAAATGGATAAATGTGCAAATTCCCATAGGTATGGCAACCTGGAACTACACCTAACCAAATGTTAGAGGAGTGTAACATGCAAGGGGACTAGGGAGTAACAGAAGACCTATGTGGGTTGGGTAGGTAGCAAGCTGTATTATAAAGGACCTTCCTTACATGATAGGCTTTTGGATTTCATCCTGAGGGTAGGAGAATGGCATCACATAAATGCTTTAAAATATCACTCTGGTTTGGAAGACTTGTCTCAAAAATGGCAGACAAAATCCATATATTTATATCCTGTTTGCCATGAAACCCCATTAAAATTACAAAAGAAACAGAAACCTAGGAATTCATAGAATTCTGAGGAATTTTTGGAAGCTACCTAGTATATGAGATCAGACTGATGCAGAAACCAAAATTGTGAATCCTTTTGCAAAGTCAATGTTCTAAGAAGTTAGAGAATCACCCCTAAGGCACCAAAGGTTCTTAACCTTTGGTGGGTGGGGCTGTTGTATAAAAAACACCTTTGGAGACTCTGATGAGAGCTACAAAACCTTTTCTCAGAAAAGTTGACACAAAATCTTGGGCATATCAAATGTCATCTGAAACTCGCCTAACCCCATGAAATCTAGGCATAATTAGCTTAAAATCTGTTACGGTTCCACAGTCACTGAAAGTCCACAACTCTTTCCATGATTTTTACTAATTTACAAAGACTATATCCTCCTGAACTAGTTCACTAAACCAACAGTGCTGCTTTTACATTGTGCTATATTGACCAGACATGAAATGTGCCAAATACCAATGGACACAACCATGAGCTGGACATACTTTCTGCCCTGAAGGAACTCAGATTAGGGGTTAACATAAGCAAAAACTCATTCAGTTAAAAAAGTTGAGTACCAACTATGTGCCAGGCAGTGTGCTAGAGCCTAAGGATACTTCAGTGAATAAGGGTAAATAGGGCCCCTGGCCTCATGGAAATGACAGTCTATATAAAGAGATAGGCCTTAGATGATGAGTGTTCAGAAGCAAAGAGCTACATTAGAGAGTAATGAGGAATGTTGCCTAGTCTGCAAGGTCAAAGAAGTAAATTTAAAATTTTTTTTAAATTTTTTTTAACATTTATTTTCTGAAAGAGCATGAGCGGGGGAGGGGGCAGGGAGAGCGAGCGAGACACAGCATCCAAAGCAGACTCCAGGCTCTGAGTTGTCAGCACAGAGTCCAATGTGTGGAATCCACGAATGCGAGATCATGACCTGAGCAAAGTCAGACGCTTAACCGACTGAGCCACCCAGGAGGCCCTTAATTTTTTTTTTAGTATTTATTTTTGGGAGATAGAGCACGAGCAGGGGAGGGGCAGAGAGAGAGAGAGAGAGAGAGAATATCTGGTGCAGGCTCCAGGCTCCGAGCTGTCAGCACAGAGCCAAAGTGGGGCTTGAACTCATGAACCACAAGATCATGCCCTGAGCCAAAGTCGGATGCCTAGCCAACTGAGCCACCCAAGCGCCCCTATTTTTTTTTAATGTTAATTAATTTTTGAAAGAGACAGAGTGTAAGCAGGGGAGGGACAGAGCGAAGAGGAGATGCAGAATTCCAAGCAGATCCCAGGCTCACAGCTGTCAGCACAGAGCCCACAGAGCCCAATGCAGGGCTTGAACTCAGGGACTGTGAGATCATAACCTGAGCCAAAGTGCCACGTTTTACCAATTGGGTCCCCCAGGCGCCCCAAAGAAGTAACTTTTTTTTAACCTGGAACCAGGATACAGAAATATTGAAAGATGAAAACAGAATGACGAGAAAGAGAAGAGACGTGAAGTGGCAGAAGTTAGTAGGATTTTGACAACACTTGAGTCTGCAGCGGTGTTCAATACACTGTCCTGTCATTCTCAAGAGTACTCAATAGGTACTCTGTTCTGACATTCAAACACATCCTGGTATTTAAGTTCTTACAAAAACTCTAAACCTGTCTATATCTATGTATTACTTGAGGTGCATGAAGTATCTTTTATCCCTAGAAAAATGTTTTCCTTATCTTACAGTCAGGAAAACTGGGACTCATACATAACTTGTTCACAAGCATCTATAGTGAGTCGCAGAGCCAGGAACTCAATCTAGGCATTCTCACCCCAAAACACATTATCCTTTGGCCTTATTGCCGACTGTTCCTGAACTGGAGCCCAAAGGGCAGCCAAGAGGTTTTCATCAAACGTGCTTCGTACTTGGAAGTTTTTTTTTTCTTTTGTGCCTTTCCTTATATTCGCTTCTCTGCCAGACCTCTACCCAGACCCAACCCCAGGTTTTCCTAATCTTTCAAGATCCTTTTCAAGTACAATTCCTTTATGAAATATTATCCAGCAGCAAAGAGAACCGTCTCTCTCCCCCTCTCCTTCCAAAGACTTCCTATGGTTTCTAGCTAGTATATTACCACCCTACAGACCTTTTATTTATCTTCCGTAGGCCGTCACTCAGCTCCGCCTCGTGGGACCAGGGTGCTGCTTCGCCGGCAGCGGTAGCCCCGGAACCGCGGACTGCTTTGAACCAAAACTGTTTGGTGAACCCGTTCGGAACCCACTTCCGTGGTCCGACCCTAGTTCCTTCAGACCGGTTTCAGGAAAGGTGCATCGACTCTATCCAGGCAAATTCCTATAAGATCTCGGCCTCCGATGCTGACTCACGGACGAGTGCGCTTCCGACCCCGAAACGCTAAGCAACTACCAGCTTCCTCCTCCGCTTGTCCACCTCAGAGATCCTCTTCCGGGGTAGAGGTCGGCCCGCCCAGCTCCGTGTCTCGTTCAAGATGGCGAGCGGCGGCGGCGGGGGGGTTTCGGTGCCTGCCCTCTGGAGTGAAGTGAACCGTTATGGCCAGAACGGTGACTTCACGCGCGCTCTTAAGACCGTCAACAAGAGTAAGTGTCGGGGCGGGCGCCGGGGCGAGCTCAGGCCGGAGGGAGGACGCGGCCTCCTTCCGGCGCGCGCGACCCCCTCCAATTAGACCCGGGAAGGGGAGACCCCGCCGCCCGCTGCAAGAGCCGGAACACTGGGCGGGCTTGGGTCGCAGCCCCTCAATGACCAGCCCTTGGTTCTGGGTTGCTGAGAGCCACGTGTACTTCCCTCTTTACCCATCGCGGGAAGTGAGGGTGGAATTTAAAGGGACCGCAGCTCCATGCGCTTCTTCCCAACCGTTTTCTTATTTGACTCTTAGCGTTTTTACTCCTTAATTCGCAAATAGCCCACATCGCCACCTTTTCTCTTTCCTTTTAGCGGAGTGATCAAGACAGTATTGCTGAGGGAGCTTGTTTTCTTGGACCGCAGCGGAGGGAGGAACCTGTAAGGGACACGTAGTTTAGAAGCTAGTGCTGACAAGGTGGGCGCTGTACAGACCCAGGGGAGATGGAAAAGGACTGATACGGATGTTAGGCCTCTCACCCCCATCGATAGACTCTCTCTCCAGTGTCATCAGATCAGAAAATGTGTGTGTAAAAGCACCAACATTTGAAATAACGTCGGAAGAAAAGTTTGGCCTCGTTTTTTTTTTTTTTTTTTTTTTTTTTTTTTGCCCTGTAACGGATAATTTCGAGTCAGTTGCCTTGCATGAGAGGTTTAGGTATTATATTCATTTATTCTTTACTGTGTAACTATAATATGGCCAGGCTTTGTAATGCTGTCATGCTAAATTCTTTACTGAAGATGCAACCTATATTTGGGAGATTTGGAAAGTGATTGCCAGCACATGGTTTGGCTGTTTAAAGCAGTAATGACATACAAATTATGTCAGTAGCATACAAGATTGTGTAAATAATTTGTAATATCCTATTGTTAATGTGGAAAGAAGTGATTGTGCCCACAGTGCACTTCTGGTGATCAGACATTAAGGAAACTGGCTATTGATTAGAGTTATTTTTATTACTAAACTTGTTTTGAATTAACGTTAGCCTTTGGCTAGGCCTGCAACCCATACTATTCAGTGGCAGTATAGTAAGTATTTTGCAGGAATTATTTAATCATCAAGTTTATCAGTGTATTTATCAATATATATTTTCTTAATTGGTAAAAATTTTCTTTAATTTTTACACAGAATTAGGTTCCTGTTGTTGCCCATGGGCAAGGAGAGTGATCCTGATAATTTTGACACTGAGCAGCTGTTTAGCTTTGAAACTTTGCCCCTAAGTCCTTCCTTGTCCCCTTTTCGTTGGTCGTCTTAGATGAATAGGGAAATTTTGAATGGTTTTTGGAAATATTGCTAGCAAAATAGCTTGCATTTGTGTTCTTCACAGCTTATAGATTTTTCTAAAATATTCTCATTTTATCTTCTTAAGAATTTCGTAAATGGGTAAACTTTCATACTCATTTTGCAGATCAGAAAACTGACATTTATCAGTGAAATGATTTGCCCAAGAGCTCGAGACATTAATGACAAGCTTGTACTCAAGCCTAAGTCATTTGCTGCCAAATTCTGCATGAACTTTTTTACTTTCTCTGTGAACTAATGAAATATGTAAGATGTAGCATGTGTCCTAAGATGGAAAAGCCAGAGAAAATCGCTTCTTAGTTCTTTTTTTTTTTTTTTTGCTACATGCATCTTGGGAATCTGTCTCCTTGAAAATCTTACTAAATTATAACGGTCCTTATTGCCACTTCTTTTTAAAATATTTTTTATTTTTATTTATTTTTGAGAGATAAAGGGCAGAGAGAGAGGGAGACACAGCTCCAAGCAGGCTCTGCGCTGTCAGCAGAGAACCCAGTGCAGGGCTGGAACTCCCAAACCGTGAGATGTAGACTTGAGCCAAAGTCAAGAGTTACATGCTTAACTGAGCCACCCAGGTGCTCCCCTTATTGCCACTTCTTAAGTTAAAAATGATCAGTCATTTTTTTTAATGTTTCAACTAATTGTTGCTGCAGTAAAATTGGAAATGTAGCTTTTTGAGGCAGTGGGTGGGAAAATCTAGTAAAAATGTAAAAAGGGAATGGATTTTAAAACTATTTTCCTAAAATTTTTCTTAGTACTGCAGATCAACAAGGATGATGTAACTGCTCTACACTGTAAAGTGGTATGCCTTATTCAAAATGGAAGTTTCAAGGAAGCCTTGAATGTCATCAACACTCACACTAAAGTGTTAGCCAAGTAAGTGATTCAGTTAGTTGTTTGTGCAGTTGTTAGAAATA